CGGGCGAGAAGACGATGAGCCAGTCGCTGCGGTCCTTCTTGGCCTGCGTCGCGAGGGTCAGCCCCGGGCCCCGCTTGCGCTTCTGGGCCAGCTCGTGGAAGGACGTGATGGTCCGGTGGGGCGCCGGCTCCTCGCTGACGTCACTCCTCCAGCCTCCATCACTTTTCCCTGCGTCTGTCTTCCAGCCAGAATCAGTTATTCCTGTATTGGTCTTCCAACCGGAGTCAGACTTTCCAGGCTCAGCTTTCCAACCAGAGTTAGTATTCCCACCGATTTTCCAACCAGAGTTATTGTCCTCGGTGATTTTCCAGCCAGCTTCCGTTTTCTCGGTGTCAATTTTCCAAATGGGGTTGATTTTCCAACTCGGTTCGGTTTTCCCAGGGTGGGTCTTCCCGTCGTCGGCCTCCGAGAGCTCGGAGGTCAGGAGGTCCTGCTCCCCACCCTCCTCCTCCTCCTCCAGCTCTGGGTAAGGCAGGTCCTGGCCGGTGGTCAGCGCATTGCAGTTGGAGTCCAGGCCAGGGCCGGGTGGGGAGGAAGCTCCGGAGCAGGAATCGGGAGAACAGCAGAAGCTGTCGGGAGAGCAGGCGCCAGGGCCTGCAGAGGCCAGAGGGGAGCCCTGCTCCGGGGGGGTGATGCTAGGCTGAGGGGGGACATCTTGGTCACCAAGGAGGTCGCGCGAGTAGACTGAAATGGGGGACTCGTCAGGGCTAAGATCTGAGCAGGAGCTGAGAGAGGAGGAGCAACCCGGGTCCGAGGGAGAGGCAGCCCCCTCTTCCTCCTCTGCTGGGTCCTGCCGGGTTTCTAGGCCTGGCCCGTGCTCCTGGCAGCATCGGCAGGGCACCGCTGGGCTGTTGGAATTGGCATCCACCAGGGTCCCGCTGCAGGGGCCCCGGCTCTCCTTGCCCCCTGCGTCCCCCGGGGGGAAGGATGTGCTCGAGGGCCCCTCCCTTAGCTCAGGACGGCGCGACAAATGCAGGCCCAGAGAGACATGCTGGAGGTGGATGTGGTTGAGGTTGCAGAGTAAAGCCCTCTGAGGGGACAGCATGGTGCCAGCGGCGACGGGATGGCCTCCAGAGAATCAGGAAGACCGGGCCTCTCGCATCCGCCTACCTGGCAACCGCAGATGCTGACCTAGAAGACAGGGATGGTGAAACCCAGCCAGTGAGGGTGCGGACCGCTAGGACACCGAGGTGACCGACAGCGGGAGCAGGCCCGGGAAGGCGCCGCCTGCTCCAGGCAATATTCAAATGAGATGCAAATGACCATCCACTAGCCTTTAGTTTCCTCTGCAGTGTTTGCAGGTGGAATCGAATGGAACCCCCCGGGAGTGGCGCGGCATGGGCGGGGGGGAGGGGGGGGCATCAGAGAATGCGGCTGCGCTCTGGATCCCCATGGAGGTGCGGGGGGTGGGGGGGAGACGGGACTTGAAAAAGGATGCGGTCCAGAATGGACCCTCGGTCCTCTTGGCTGCAATCACTCCCAGAGTAAGGGGCCAAGGGAGGCCCTGCCCAAATGCTCTGAAGTGGGGGAGGAGGGGCGCTGCGTCTGGCTGGTGAATGCAGGGAAGGGCGGACAGGAGCGGGGGGATGGAGCAGTAGTCTGAATGTCAAGCCGGCCTGCACAGACCGCACAGGGCTTCAGCGTACAGCCCCGGTAGAAACCGGGCTAGAAACCCGGGGTTTCTGTCCATTCTCTCCGTACTTGTCTTTCATCCGGCCACCACCCCACCCCTATTCATTTTTACTGCTCCCTCTCCTGCCCCACCCCTCATGCAGATCCATTCATCCACACCCCCAGACCGAGCCCTCCTCACCTCGGTTCTGCAACTGCTCCAGGCGTTGAGCTCCTCTGCGGCTCACACAGTCCCCGCACTGACTGGAGGGAAGGGGTGCGGCGGTAGGACAACCCGCCCACGCTGCGCAGCCGCGCCCCTTCACGCATGGGCGGGGCGGGGCTCAGACCCAGCCCCCTGCGCTTGACGTCTTGCCCGTGTCACCCACCTAGGTCTGTCTGTTTTTGGTACGTTCTAAGCTTTTTCGTCCTTAGAGATCCAGAAGTCATCGCCCTGGTTGCTGTGGAACCACCCTACCTATTCTGGACAGAGCTGCATCCCTGGCTAGTATACGCAAGAACAGAACCACAAGGTTGGATAGGATAGCAGGTTCTGGTATAATATCGTTTCATTCTTGTTTTTTTATAGGGTTGAGAAAATTGATTCCAGACAGGTCCACTGTATGCAGCTTGCAAGTTCTTCCCTTTGGGTTTTCTCCTGGATTGTTTTCCTCCAACAGCCCAAAGACATGCAAGTGAGGTGAGTTGGTGTCTAATTGCCTGAGTGGTTGTGGGGATGAGTGGGCCCTGCAATGGAAGGGCCGCCTGCCCAGCGTTGGCTTCTACTTTGAGCTGCCCAGATAGGCTCCTATCACACACCATCCTTAACTGCTTTTATTCATTCCTTAAATGTGTGTATAGCTCATTTCAGTGTTTAATATTAGAAGTATTTGATGGGTTTTATTTTAGAGGGATAAAAGGAGTCAGGGAAATATCAGTGTGAGAGAGACACATCAATTGGTTGCTTCCCATACATGCCCCAACTGGGATCAAACCAGCAACCTAGATATGTGCCCTGACCGGGAATCTAACCTGCAACCTTCCAGTGCATAGGATGATGCTCCAACCAACCAAGCCACACCCACAACCAACCAAGCCACACCCACAACCAACCAAGCCACACCCACCTAGACGTGATATTTTTGTGACCAGAAATATCATAAAATACAACTCTTGTCTATATCAATTAATATATGACAAAATTTTGTCACAGTATCCAAGAATCTATGGATGACATCCAGCGAGGACATACTATAATTTATTGAGAGCTCCCCTCCCGCCCTGGCAGTCTCTGGGTCACTTTTTCCGCTTGTAGATCTTCTGTGCTAGCCTCAGGAAGATGGCTTGGGGCAGGGGCGAAGAGTACTGCTCGATAAGACCCAGAAGGCGGCTGTAACTGTCTTCCTCATATTGCATAAACACGGCCTGCAGATTCAGCTCCTCGTAGAGTGCCTTCACCCGGGCCACCTTCTCAGCTTCTTTCTGCCCATAATTCTCCTAGAAGGGGGTAGAGGCAGGAAAACAGGCTTACTCTTCTCCTAGTGCTTCCACGTCCCCTCCACACCCCCTCCACGCCCCTCATCCATATATTCGGAACATCTCCAATGCCATTCACTTGATTCCTGCCTCCAATTCAAGTGTCTTTGAGTGTCTAAGATTGTCTCAGATGTTCAATTTTCCCCCTCCCACTCCAAATGCTCAGACATTAGCTCAGCCCTTAGCTTCCTGTCGCAGGGTTTCTCAGCTTTGGCACTGTTGAAATTTGGGGCCACATAATTCTGTTATAGAAACTGCTGCGTGCATTGTACGATGTATGGAAGCATTCCTGGCCTCTACCCACTGGAGGCCAGAAGGTTGAGAACCACTGCACTAGAGAGAGACCTTAGCACATGCACACACACCAAGTCAACAAAAAATGTCTGCTGCTACTGCCAAATGTCCCCTGCTGCTAATGCCAATGCTCCCACGTAAGAACCACTGCCTTAGCCCCTTTCTTATCAGCTCAGGGACCCACAACCCTCTCCTGGGCACCTGCAGGATCTGGCACTGTTCCGGCGAGGCCCGTTGCAGACACTGTACTACCAGCCAGCTGCATTTGTTGTCCTGGATGTCAGTGCCAATCTTGCCCGTCACGCTGGTGTCCCCAAAGAGATCAAGGTAATCATCCTGGACAGGGGAGCAGAAAGGGAGAATGAAGATGCTCCGAGGCAGGCAAGGAGGGAAGTTGGAGCCTGTTCTCTGCCAGTGCCTCCTGCCTTCCTACCTGGATCTGAAAGAGCTCTCCC